AGGAGCTGGGGATGAGGGGGAGGGGCCCAAGCTGTGAGGCTCTCCCCGCCCTATCCTCCCACCCAGGCCTCACCTTGGGCCTGCATGCGGGTCCGGACCAGAGCCAGGGGGTAACTGGCTATCTGGCCGCAGGTGCTGGAGACGGTGCCACAGGCCAGGAGCACGAGGATGCCTGGGTCGGCCGAGTCATGGCTGTACTGCTGGAGCCATCGGTTCTTCAATGTCTGGCAGGGGCAGAGAAGGGAGCGGGATTGGATTGGAACTGGCAACACCGGCAGACCCCCTGCTGGCTGGCTTCCGCAGCCACCCCCCCCCCCCCCCCCCCCCCCCCGCCCCCGACGGCAGCGGGTACCAGCCCAGCGGTGCCTCCTAGGTGCCCCACAGCACTGTACCTGCACCCTGCCACTCAGTCCTCACCTTCTATGGTATGTGGAAGGATGGCCCCTGCCCCTACTGTCCATGCCCTTGTCCCTGGAACCTGGGAATATGGTACCTCCCGTGGCAGGAGCGACTTTGCAGATGTGATTAAGTTAAGGGGGCACGATGCTAGAATATCCAGGTAGGTCCAGTATCATCATGAGGCTCCTTATGAGAGAGCAGGGGCACCTGGGTGGCTCAGTCGGTGGAGCGTCCGACTTCGGCTCAGGTCACGATCTCACGGTTTGTGAGTTCGAGCCCCGCGTCGGGCTCTGTGCTGACAACTCATAGCCTGCTTTGGATCCTCTGTCCCTCTCCCCTGCTTGTGTTCTCTCTCTGTCTCTCTCAAAATAAATAAGTAAACTTAAAACATGTTTTTTAATTAAAAAAAAAAAGCACGGTCATAAACGTGCACTGTTTTAAACCACTAAGTCTGTGGTCATTTGATTCAGCAGCCATAGAAAACTAACACCCTCGCCAAGGTGGACACCCCGTTCTTATCCCTTACCATTTCGACCCAAATCTGTTGACTCCCAGCTGCCAGTATCCACGGTTCTGCCCGAGGACTCTCACCGGACCCAGGCAAGGCTGTGCTGAGCACCCAGGAATAGGCGGGAAGTGCTGGGGAACCAGCACCCCAGAAGTGAGCTTCAGACAACTGACTGGGTGTATCAATACCCCAACTCCCTTGCATCTCTGCTGGGGCGTGTTCTATGCAGGTGCCTGCAGAGCCCCCCGCCAGGATTGAGCTCCACCTGCCCACCACGATAGCTTGCTTGCTAACAGGCTCAATTATGTCCTCCCAAAAGATATGTTGGAGTCCTAACCCCCAGGATCTCAGATTGTGACCTTGTTTGCAAAGAGAGTCTTTGCAGGTGTGATGGGTTGGGGTGAGGCCATCCTGGAGTAGGGTGGCCCCATAGTCAAAATGACTGATGGCCTTATAAGAAGAGGAGACACAGAGATGGAGACGCGTAGCAGGGGGGAAGACAGCCACACGGTGACAGAGGCCGAGATCGGATGGATGGGTCTACAAGCAGAGAAGCGGCAAGGATTGCCGGCCACCACCGGAAGCTGGAAGAAGCAAGGAAGGATTTCCCTCTAAGCTTTCAGAGGGAGCATGGCCCTGCTGAGTCGAGGTTAGACTCCGACCTCCAGAGCTGTGACGATAAATGTCTGTTGCCTCCCAGTTTGAGGTTAGGCGGCCCTAGGGAGCTAATGCTCCTTGTTTTGGTCGCCTTACCTTCCCGCCAAACTACTTGCTGTCACATCCCTGCTTCTGGAAGACCTCAAACTAAGACAAATACCACTGTCGTCTCCATTTAATCGATGCAAAACTGAGGATCCAGGGAAGCTGCTTACCCAGAGCCACAAGAGACAGGTGGGAATCAACATTCAGAGGCACACCTGAGTCCAGAGTGGGGCGCTCGGTCTTTAGGGGCAGCCAATCCCTTATTGGAGCCTCTGCGAGAACCTTCTTTCATACTCTGGGACTGGGATGGCTCCTCAGTTTCATTTCCCATGTCAATTCTAACCCCTTGGGAATGGCTGCCGGGAAGTGTGTTGAGAGGGCCTCCGGGCTGTGATAGATAGATTCGTGATGTCTGGCCACGGGGCTGTGATAGATAGATTAGTGATGTCTGGCCGGAGCATGGCGTGAGCACATTGGCAGCAACTGTTCACCATTATTGCCTTTGCAATTCTGGAGCAGCATTTGCCAACTTGGTGTTTAATGAGTGTTTTAAGAGCTGTTCTGTTGAAAAGAAGTTCTGATGACTGCATAGGCATGGCCCGCACTGGGCTAAAGAACAAAACAAAACAAACAAACAAAAAAACACCCCAAACAGTGAAATCACTGCTCTGTAGACTTGTCAGAGCCTTTAAAGGACTAATAAAGAGTTTGAAACTCCAAGAGGGCACAACGCTTCTCAAACTCCTTAGACCTCCCAGCTCCCTTTTTCTGGCGAAGAATGGATCAAATAAAGTTAGGTCTCATTTCTGCACACAGCCCTCAATGGCTTTGTCTTGCACTTAGGAAAAACCAGCCATGTCATTGAGCTCTTGCTGAATCTCTGGTTCCTTCAAGCCACTCAAGACTTCCATTCCTCCCACAGGCCTGCCTCTGGACCTACACTCTCTGCCTTGTTCACACTCCCTCCCACATCACCTCTCAGAGGCGAGCCTAGACCCCTCCGCCCCCTGCCCACTGTTACTTTCAATTACACATCCTGTTTTATCATCTTCTGAGAACTCAGCGGGATCTGAAACTACTTGTTTGCTGGTTGGCTGACTTCCTTGTTCGCTGGAGTGGGTGCCCCAGGAAAGCAAAGATGGTGTTATTTAATGCTGTATCTGCATCAATCAGCACAATGCCCAGTGCTTTTGGATGTTTAGTAAGTAGTTGCTGAGTGAACCAGTGAATAAATGAATGGATGAACGAATCAACAAACAGGTGAGTGAATGAGTGATGGCCTTGTCTCATTTGGCTGCATAGATGCTGGGTGCTGGGGACATCAGGTATGGATGGCAGGTGTGGAGTGTTGTAGGTCAGGACCAACCACATAATTCGCAAGGTCCAAAGCATATTAAAAATATGTGAGGTCCCTTGTCCAAAGCTGATTAGGAATTTCAAGACAGCAACAGCAGAGCATTAAACCAAGGGCAGGGCCCTCTGAACATGGGGCCCTTGGCAACCGCCCTGGTCACCTGCCTGTGAGGCTGGCCTTGTCCCAAATACAAAGACTTTGGGGGGATGCCTGGGGACAACTGGGGCTGTGCTACTGAGGAACCTGGTGATCCCACCAGAAGAAGGTAAAAAGCAATGAACAAGGTCTCTGGAAGAGAAAAAGCAAAAACCAAAAACTCCCTGTTCCTGCCTCTCTTGAAAAAGGTGCTGAGATGTGTAGTTTTTACGATGACAGCCGATGCCGAAACGGGCAGGCCCTGAAGAAGGCATCGGCGGGGTCCGATACGTGCTTTGGGGAGGTGGGCATCTTTCAAGCTCATCTTCACCTGCTCCCGTGAGTCTGTGAGCTACCGTGGTCCCTGAACTTCCCATGTCCCGAGACCCAGGAAGGCTGAACTGCAAAGGGAAGTGATGAGAATTCTCACAGTGGTAAATGCAAGAGTCGGGAGTCCGCTGGCTGAAGGGGTTCCCCAGGGCCCATGGCGCTTCTCCCTAGTTTTGGAGGTCGACTGAGTTGGCCCATGGGAAGACGGTGTCCCGTGGGCAAATCTCAGAGGGGAGAAAAAAGGAGGGAGGGGCGGGCTACCCACAGACCTCATAGACAGCCAGGTCGATGCCTGCGTAGGGGATGATGCCCAGCACGTTGGGCAGGTAGCCTCGGTAGAAGGCTCGGGGCCCCTCTCGCTCCAGGATCTGCCACGCACAGTCCAGCAGCCCCTTGTACTGGCCCGTCCGGCGCAAGGTCAGCCGCGTCTTCAGCACCTGGAGAGAACCCGGTTATCCCTGGAAAAACTGCCTCCAGACACACCACATCCAGGAACGAAGACACGTAGAAATAGCTACTTCTGGAAGGATGTACCCTGGTAATACTGGAATTTAACAAACCACTTACTCTAGAATCTTCCGTCATCCCCAAATCCCTATACCTAAAAATGTTGACACCTCTCAGAGTTACATATGATGGCCACTTCTGTCTCCCAATATCTTGTTCCCTTTCCCCCTTAATAATAGAAGCTATAATTTTCAGCAAGCACAGAGCCACTAGAAATACAGACTACATTTCTCATTTTCCCTAGATGTATGGCCATGTGACTAAGTCCTAGCTAACGAAACAGCAGGAAAACAGGTATGTGTGACTCTCAGAAAGTATCCTTAAAGGCAGGGAGGTGTTCTTTCCTTTGTCTATTCTTCCTTCTTGACTGCAATATGGATGTGATGACTGGAGCACAAGCAGTCACTTTGGCCCATGAGGTGGGTGCTACATTCTGAAGTGCTGGAAGAAGATAGAGGGAAGGAACTTGGGTCTCTAACACTTTGAACTCACCATACCTGCCCTGAACTGCTTACCTCAGACTTCATTTATGTGATTTGAGTTTTCCATGATACACTGCAATCCTGATACACTGCACAACCTGAAACCTGAAACGATTTCTCTGAAAATAGTTTCATCTAGAAATGATTCCCCTGGGAACAAACATCCTGGAAATCAGTATCCTTAGAAGAGGCGTGACTGTGAGCGGCTGGAACCCACGGCTGCTGCCTAAACAGTTATGACCAATGCCACCATCCCCAAGAGACACATCTCAGTTGCCGATGCCCACACAGACTACCCATGAAACAACATTTCTCTAATGAGCTACAGTCCGAATCCGGGAGAGGCAAAGCTATACTTCCAACGTCTACCACACCGCAGAGTGACATGGTTATCGCGAGCCTCCCACCCTGCCACGGGGCCTCTCCCATGGTCCCTCCTTCTCACCTCCATGGGGTAAATGATGGTTTGGGCTGTGGCGCCAGCGAGGGAGCCGGCCACAAAGCGCTCTTGCACGTGCAGTGACTCCTGCTGCCCTCGAATGGCCCGCTTGATCTGGAGGTGGGAGAGGTGGGCAGGATCTCAGGTCCTCCTGCTGTGGGCACCACACAGGGGAGCCGATGCCCACTCCCGGGGTCCTGCGGACACCCCTCCCCACCCCCACCCCCAGGCCAATCCCACTAGCCCTCGCGTCTGGCTGAGGTCTCTCACGCCTGCCCCCACCTGCTCATAGGCCATGAACTTGATAGCCGACTCTGGCGCGATCTTAAGCACGTTAATCCCATTCCCACGCCACAGGGAGCGCATGCCCCCCTCTCGGATCATGTTCTTTAGGCCCCCCAGGATGTTCAGCTTGTTGGTCTTGGAGGCGTGGACCTACGTGGGGAGACAAGGTGGCTTTGCGGTCCCCTTCTGGGGGCCCCAGGCCTGGGACGGGGGAGGGGGGCTCTTTCCAGGGCCCCTCACCTGCATGAAGACCTTGAGGCGGTCCAGAGGGGCTGTGCCCGTCCGCGACACAGCGCCTGCCACCGCACCCGCCACCAGCTGCTTCCACCACATGCCGCTCAGCTTCTCCTGCTCTGAAAACTCATCAGGAACAGTCAGGCACTCGCCGATGTCCAAGACCTAAGGACGCAGGGACTGGGCTGTCACGCCAGGGGGCAGGGAGATGCGACTCAGCCCTAAACGGTAACTCCCTCACGAATCCCAGGACACCCAGAGAGCCTGCCAGTGCATCGCACTTGGAGAGCCCAGGCGATCCCTCTTGGACCCCTACCAGATCCTACCAAAACATCCAGCCTGATCCCACACAGGATCCTAACACCTCTCCTGGGCACCTCCACCAGATCCCAGCAAAGGAATCTACTCAAGCATCTACACATAAAGATTCCTCCCAGAGCCAATCAGACCCCTTTGAGGGATCCCACCCAAGGATCTCCCACATAAGGATTCCGCAAGATCCCTCCAGGGCCACATGAGATCCCATCAGGCACCTGCCACATAAAGAGACTAGTGGATCCCTCCCAGGGCCTCAAGAGATCCCACAGAGAATCTGTCCCCCAGGGATCACCCCTCCCCTAGAATCCACTTATAGACATCCCAACCAAGCCCCCTCATGGATCCCCAGGGTGGGAATCTCTGGATCTCCCAAGAGGATCTCCCCAGATCTCACGTGTGGATTCCCCTCCAGATGCCATCAGATCCTACTGGAAGCATCACTCAGAGATTCCCAACTAGAAGCTGGCAATCTAGAGCACTTCCTCTCCCACCTTCCAGTGGATCTCAATGAACCCTCCAAAGAAGGTGGCTTTCTTGTGAGTCCCTTCGGCAATAGAACCATTTACTGAGGCAAACAGAAACCAGTAGAAGGAGAGCTGTGGGTGGAAGCTGGGGACTGGGTGACCCCCCTGGTGAGCCCTTCCTTCCCTGTGCTCCCACCTCCCACAGTCTGCCCCCATTGCCCCAAAGTCAGGTCTGAAGGGCTCCAGACCTCCCCGCAGTGGGTCCCTAGTCCCCTGAGCACTGATCGGAGGAAGAGAGGACTGGAGTTTCTCATCCCTTGACCGTTCCCAGCAGCTCCTCCTTCTCAAGGCTCCTGACCCAGCCCCTCCATGCCCTGGGGAAACCAGAGTAAGGCCCGGCCACCAAGCTGGGAAAGCTGCCCCCACCTCACCGTCGAATGTTTCCAGAAATAGACTACATCCTCCACATTCTCCAGCGAATGCAACAGGAAGTGGTCGCGCCACTCCTGCCAGTCGATGGTCATTGTGCCGTCACGGTCCATGCTGGGGATGTGGGGCAAGGTGGGACAGAATCAATGCTGGGGCTGGAGGGGGTCGGATGGGGTTCGGTTGGTTTGGGGGTAGACTGACTCCCTGTGCACCGAGAGCTGGCCATTTTGCAAAGGGGAAAACTGAGGCTCAGAGAAGTGAAGAGAGTGGCCCAGGATTTGCCTGACTCCCAAGCCCGCCTCTCAGCTCCACCTGCCCTGGGATTGGGCCTGGGGCCTAGAGGTTCAAGGTGGCCGAGGGGTCCCGGGGACCTGAGTTACCTGTGATTCTGGAACCCCAGCTACTCACCTGTGCAGAATTTTCTCTGCTTGCTCCAGAGAGATGGAAATACCCAGAGCTCGGAAACTTTGCTGGATCTCAGACACATCAATATGACCTGGGAGGGGGCCAGAGGTAGAAAAGGGTGTGTGTGGGGGGCGGGGGGTGGGGAACCCTGGAGCCCAGGTGCAGTACAGCTCAGAATGGGATGGTCTAGCAAGACCAGAGGATCCAGGAACCCAGGGTGAGATTTGCAGCAGGGTGGGGTGGGGTGTCACTGACCCATTGGGATCAGAGAGGTAGAACTGAGAAATGTTGGGGGGCGGGTTCCTCTGTTCCATGAATGAATGAAAGAATGAATCCAGGATAACTATGGGGGTCCTTATGCCATAGGAGATTGAGAGGCAATATTAGGGATCCAGAAGGATGGGGGGGTGCCTACGCCTCCTAGGGAATCCAGAAGCAATATGGGGCATCTTTGTCCCTTAGAAACATAAGGGTAATAACAAGGGTCGCATCCCAGAAGGGAAAGGAGGTAGGATGGGCCCATGGGCCCAACCACCTAGCTGGGGGGTGAGGAGAGCTCCCAAAATAGCCCGTGAGTCATCAGGGAGAAGTGGCCCTCCCCCCTCCTCCTAGCACTGCCAGTTCTAGCCCCGTTGGTGTCTCCAGGGCCCCTGCAGCCCATCCCTGGGCCTTACCATCCTGATTCCGGTCCAGGCTGTGGAACAGAAGCAGCAGGCGTCTTTCTCGCTCCTGCAGGTAGCGGCTAAACTCCTCCAGGTCCAGCCCACCGTGTGGGTCAGTGTCACCCTCAGGGGAACTGCCCTGGCAGGGGGGGAGGGATGAGGGAGCTCCAGATGGCCGCTCCCCATCTGCAGGGGGCACGGCAAGCTCATGGCCAGGGAACTCAGAGCCCCCCCCAGAACCTAAAGCAGGGGAAGGCGCCGGCTCACTTCTCAGCAACATGCCCAAGCCACAGTTGAGCGGCGGAGTGGAAAGCAGTTGTCCAGTTTCCCTGGCAAACAAACTGAGGCTCTCCAAGGTCGAGTAACTTTTTCAAGGTTACAGAGCTGGGAAGTGGTAGGTAGCCTTGGGCTCTTGTCTCTGAAAGCCTGTCCTCCCAGCTGTCTCTTAAAAAAACAACAACAACCCCAAAACCTGTCCATATGGCTGCTCCGGGAGCTCCCGTTAGAGACAGCTCTGGGCAATGTGGGGTAGATCCAAGCTGAGAGCCCACCGGGCCTCTGTCCTCCCGCCTGGGAAGCGGAGGCTTGTACTGGAGGCCTCAAGATGCTGTGGAGACACTCCAGTGGCAGCTGGGGCTACAGGTGTCAGGGACACCTGCATAGGTCTGGGGGCAGGTTCCTGCTTTCCTACACCCCCAGCTAAGGGTGTTGGCGGGCAGGATCCCCGGCTGGGATAGCCTGGGGCATTAAGCCAGGCTTATTGGAATGGGCAGGTCGGGAAATGTAAACATTGAGAGGCTGGGCGGCTTGCTGGGGGTGGGGTGGGGGGCAGTGGGTGCCCAGAGGAGGGGAGGGCGGATGGGAAGGGTGTGTCTCCTGAGGCGGGAGCAGGGTAGGTCTTGGGACGGGTGGAGAGTTCAGAGGAGGGTGTGTCCAAGGCAGTGGGCAGGAAAGCGGACGGGCTCCATTCGCTGGCAGCCATCCCCCACCCGCGAAGCACCGGCGACGGGGGTGGGGACCGGGTGCTGGCAGCCGAACTGCAGGCCTGGGGCCTCCTTGGCTCGGTCTGGGGCGAACCCGTTAGGCCCAGACACGGTGGGCAGGGGTAGGGGGGCAGAGACGCTCAGGCTGGGCACCGGCCCTGGAGTGCAGCCACAGGCACTCCCAGGCAGCGGCGGCGCTCCATTCAGGGGCTCGGGTTACCGGGCGCCGGCCGGGCCCGAGCGCCGCGCGCCAGGCTGGGGTCCCGCGGGGGTACCTGTTGGGTGTCGCGGTTCGGGTCGCCCCCGCCCAGCCGAGCCAGTCCCTGGCGCAACTCGTGCACGTCCACGCGGCCGTCCTTGTTCCTATCCAGCTCCTCGAAGAGGCGACCCCAGCGCTGTCGCCGCTCCGCATCGCCCGGGCCCCCCCGCATGGCGCCCGGGGGGGAGGGGAGGCCCGGCAGCGGCGGCCTCAGCGGGGGCTTCGCGGCTCCCCCTCCCCCCCGGGGCCCCGCAGGGCCAGCTCCGCGGCCACGGCCACCGCAGCCTCCGCGCTGCCCGCCTGGCTCTGGCACTTGCAGGAGCCGGTGACTGCTAACCGTCGCCGCCCGCGCCGGAATTGGCGTCTCCTCCCCCGACCCGCATGGGGGGGAGGGGGCCGGAGGCGGAGCTGCGGGTGTGGGGCGGTGTGTCGGGGATGCTCTGATATTGCACAGCCTAGGAAGCGCCAGGGTTCATTCTGGGGAGAGGGGCTGGAGAGATCAATGGTCTCAATTCTGCTTTCAGAGTTCTGCCTTGCGTGCCTCAGTTTACCCTCTGCCCCAAGGGGCGAGGTAGAGAGATATCAGGGATTTGGTTTCGTAATCCCTTTCCACTTGACCTCCCTCCCCCACTAATCCTCTTTAGGCGCCAAAGTACTCGTTTTCAACCCAGACGTGCTCAAGAACCAACCCGAGGCCATCCAGCCCTCCATCTGCCCGCCCGCTCATTTCACATCCCCCACTCGGCCGCAGAAACAGAAAATCAAGAGGCCGTGCTTTCTCCCGCAAGCTTTACATCCCTCCCGCGAGCCTCCTTTCTATGTCCCACTTAGACTGGGAAACGGAAGATCAACTGGCGGCGCGGCTGCAGAGTCGGTTTCCTATTGGCCAGAACTGCTGGAGCTGAGCCCGCCCGCCCCACCTGGGCGGGGCTTCCGCGCTGAGCTGGTGCAGTCTTGGGCCCCCGCGACTTCTGGCTGGCCGGGCCGTCTTAAAGGGGCCGCGGCAGGATCCGGTCGCTTGGCTGACTGCTCTCTCCAGACCAACCTGGGCCTCTCAGTATCCCAGGCTCGAGTGCCGATGGAGACCGGGAAACCGAACGCTGGAGGCGCGGCATCAGCCTGTCGCGCTCGCTGCACCTGCCGAAAGTCCCTCCCACTACTTTTGGGCGCAGTTTCTCGAGTCACCATTAGGGGGAGGGGCGGCCAGAAACACATTGGCGAAAAATAATAATAGCTAACATTGACTCACGGCGTTGCACAAACCCAAGGCCTTTTTACTCACCTCTCGCGTCGTCCTCGCCAAAACTCTATAAGGTAGGTGGGTGGGACTGACTTTCCCACTTCACAGATGAGGAAACAGAGGTTAAACTGCTCTCTCCAGTCCACATGCCCACTACAGGGCAAAGCAGGGATTTAACTAGACCTGGAATTCTTACCCATCGCTCTCTACTCTAAAAGTGATTAATTTCCCCTTAGCCGCTACTCTTCACCCTAGAGTTCCCAGGAGGTGGTGGTCTTATCATCATCGTCCTTTATCCCAAAATACAGCCATGAGGACCCATTTAGTCCTGCCCAGCCAGTGCTCAAATAGGTGCGTCCCAGACAAAGGAGCCTCTTCTTGAAGGTCCCCTCACAGATATTTTCTTCCTAGGTGGTCCTTGCAGGTGCCCTTCAACATGGGGAATACAGATGTTTCCCCACAGAAATGCCCCCAACAGGTGTTTTCTCACGGAAACATCCCTAGCAGGTGGGCCTCAATACACAGAAGCCTTTGTCCCGC